CGCTGGCTCCCCGAGGGCCAAGGCGGTTGCCCCACTCACAAACCTCGAGACTCGGCGGGGTTCGGGGAGCCCCCTCCAGGCCGCAACAACGGCCACAGCTGCCAGGCCCTGGCCCAGCTCTTCGAAGCCCCGGCCTCGCCAGTCTGGGAAGAGCGCTACCGACACCCCGGAGCTCCAGAATCGGGCCGCCGCCTTCGTCCCGGGCCCCCTGCCCGCCCCGACGGCTTACCTCTCAGGGTTCCGGCGCCGTCCCGACAAGTAAGGCTGTCGCGGGGATACCCCCAAACGATCCAGTCGCCCACCGGCACAAACCCGCTCTCTCCCTCGCAGCGCCAGCGAGCGTCTCTCCCCTCCCTCTTTCAGGCGGAGGAGGAGCTAGCGGGGGCGACCTTTGTGTCGTCAGGCGCAGGTCACCAATAGCGGGCTCCCGGCTAACGCAAGAAAGGGACGGGATCCTCCCCCGGGGCTCGTCACAAGACAACATCCGCTCGCCCTCCCAAGCCGCCAACCGCTTTGCGCACGCGCCACGGGTGACGTGATAAAGCACGCCTGCTGGGGAGCTGGTGGGACTACGTAGGGGGAGTGGTGCTGGGGCCGTCCTGGGGCTCGACCAGGGCTGGGTTTTGCAAGCCTTCCTTCTGCCCCTTTCGTTCGGTTGCCTCCTGGGGGAACAAATGGCCTGGCCGTTTTAGCCAACGTTAACTAAGGAATCTGGGGACAAAGTTCAAACCCTGCCTCTAATGATACCTGTAGAGCGAGTCGCTGGAGGCCGCTAGGGGGCGCAGCGGTGGGCCTGGAGTCAGCAAGATGTGATTTCAAATTCAGTTTCTGACACCAGCAATACTGTAACACTGGGCAAGTCGCCTCAGTTTCAACAGTTGAACAAGTGGTGTTAATAATGGCACCTACCTCTTAGGGTGGGTGTGAGGAACACGTGAGGTAATGTTTGTAAAGTGCTTAGCACGGTGCTCTGGCCCATAGAAGGCACTTAATGTGTATTTCCTTCTTTTACTTCCTTGGGCCTCAGTTTCTTCATGTGTAAAGTTAAGAAATTAGACTAGATTATTGCCGAAGACCCCATTTCCTCTCTAGCTCTATTAATTCCCTATGAACTAGAATTTTAACCTACCACTTAAAGACACCCATTTTAAAAAAAAGTCTGACAACCAAAAGCCTCTTGTAATAGTCATTATTAATTATCTAAAATGCGGTGGTTTCCAAAAAATGTCATTCCCCCAATCCCCTCCTTTTGTAAAGCAGTCCATGCAAATAATTTTGTTTTTTATTTAAATAAAATTAAGAATATTTTTATAACAAGCCTTAAGTCATGCAGTAAAAATTTATAGAAACTGATTACAATACTTTGCACTTTCCATCTAGTTTTAACTTTAAAATAATAACCATGATATGCTATTACCGATGTGGATGAACTTTTCTTTCAAGTAGCTACTTTAAACACGTCATTGATCATAACAGAAATGGAGGCTGGTCCCATTTCATTGATAGAGGTAATGCCCGAGTGAAGAAAACGCTTAAACAGTTAGGGCCTCTATAATTTACAAACTTAGAAGACTGGTAGAGGGCACTAAGAGATTAAGTGACTTGCTCAGCCAGTATGTGTTAGAGTTAGGAACTTACAGACACAGGTTTTTCTGCCTCCAGGGCCAGTATGTGTCAGAGACAGAACTGACAAAAAGTTTTTCTCCCTCCAAGGCCAGTTCTCTCCAGTATGCTATTCTAATTCATGGTGCATTAACCATAATTATATAGTAATATAATTTATCATTCTTTTAAAACTTCTAAACAGAATCCATAGTTTGTCAAATAGCTACTATAGAAAATCATATCTTGCAAAGATAAAATGTTTCAAAGAATAGCAAAATTTGCATCACTTTGATAAACCAGAGAACTCTTTCACCTAGCTAAAACAGTAAGATTTTTAGGTTCAAAGGTTTCTTTTTTCAAACCACTATCACAAATCAATAAATCAGCAAGGATTCATTGAGGGCCTACTATGCTGGACACTGTACTAAGTGATAACCAGCAGTACAAGCAAAGAAAAAAGCGAATAGTTCCTTACCCTGAAGAAACCAATTACATTCTAACAGGAGAGACCACCTGTAATCTAGCTCACTAAACCATCTCTTTTTAAAAATTTCACTTCCTCCCTTCATGTCCTCTATGGGAGATCAGCTATAAAGGGAAAATTCATCTTTGTGAGGCCCAATGTGCCAAATTGCCAATTTTATCCACCTGAAATCAGACAAAATAACAGCTCTCAACTGGAACTTCCAATAATTCAGCTAACTTTGTGAAAAGATATACAGCACCCTGCCATCTCTCTTTGGGAATTGTGCAAACCACAAGAACTCTGAATTTCAGAAGGAAGAACTTATGAGGTGTTACTATATGCAAAAGCACTGTACAAATGCAACTAAGATACAAACAGAAAAGTTAGGCAGTCTCTGCTCTCAAAGAGCTCACATTCTAATGGAGGAGACAACACAAATGGAAGGTTTCAACTGAAAGTCCAATGAAAAGGTTCCATGGTCCTTAGGGTACAGTAGCAAAGCAGATGTTAATATCTCTCCTTTAATTTCATTTGAGTGCCTGACACTTAATAAATCTTTACTGACTGAGGCTGAACCATTTAACAGTGCCAAGGACTTTAATGGCAAAGATTTTCTTTTGTGGGTCTTTAGTAGCTGGGGCTATAGCACTTTCAGGAACAGTTGCCAAGCTGCAACTCCATGGGGTTTCTTCCTAGCATGATAGCAGAGATTGCTGTGCTATAGGGATAGCAATAAAACTGGTCCATACATAAATTCAATTTCAATATCAGCCCCACCCCAAGCCACCCACCAACATCCTATCCAGGGGTCCAAAATAAAAACAAAACGTTGGCTAAATCTGCTAAGAACAGTTTAGGTGCTTCTTTGTACTGTATGATTCTATGTATTTGTGTGGCTATACTTTAATATAGTTATGGAATCGAATCACCCCCAAACATTCAGGAACTGTATATGTCAAAAGGAACAATATAAGGGGTTGTAGAAGCAGCCATAGGAAGTGGAAATTTTATAAATGAAGAAACTAATTTTGAATATGAAGATCTGAGTTAGAAACTAGACCACAAAACTTCTAGGATCGTGAGGCTTCAGATTCCTCATATGTAAAATTGAGGTACTGGACTAGGTAAAAACTACTCATATTTACATAGTGCTTAAACACTTAGTGCTTTTCTGCAATTTGGAAATACTGTATGCTAAATACTTTGCCTCTATTGACTCAGCTATACCACTACTAGGCTTACACCTCAAAGAGATCAAAGAAAGAGAAAAAGGACCTACATGTACTAAAATATTTTAGCAGCTCTTTTTGTAGTAGCCAAAAATTGGAAACTAAACAGATGTCCTATTGGGGAATGCCTGAACAAATTATTATATTTGAATGGAATATTATTGTGTCGTAAGAAATGACGAAATGGATAGTTTCAGAGAAACTTGGGAAGACTTCTAGAACTGACATAGAGCTTAGTAGAACTAGGAGAACAATGCATAAGACATTATGGAGAAAAATAACTTTGAAATACTTAGGATTCTGATTGTTGCAGTCATAAACTATGAGTTCAAAGGACTAAAGATGAAACATATCACTCATCTCCTGTCAGATGATGAATTGAAATACAGGGAAACATACATTTTCAGGCCTGGCCAATGTGGGAATTTATTTTTGAGGCGATTTATGCATACTTATGATGAGATTTTTTTTTTCATTTTTTGGGGGAGAGAGGATGGTGGTGAGGAGTTGTTGCTGAAGAGGAAAGGTAGACAGCTTGAAAGAGACATAAATGCATGTAAAAATAAGTGAATACATTTTTTAAAAATAAAATGGTACAGAGGACAGAGTGCCTGGCCTGAAGTCAGGAAGACATCTTCCTGAGGTTTAAATTTGGCCTCACTTACTAGCTGGACTTACTACCCTGGACAAGTCACTTAACCCTGTTTGCCTCAGATTCCTCAACTATAAAATGAGCTGGAGAAAGAAATGGCAAACCACTCCACTACCTTTGCCAAGAAAACCTCAAATGGGGTCACAAAGAGTCAGACAGACTGAACAATTAAATACTTTTCTTACTACACTTTTGAGGTGGTTAAGTACAAAAGTTAGCCCATTTTACAGATGAGTAAATTGAACTTTGGAGAGGTAGAGTAAGCAACCCAAGGTCACAACAATCTAATTTTAGCTCTAAATCATCTGATCTGAGCAGTCAGTAGAAGTATCCATGTTGGGATACTATATTAAAGGCTTCTGTATTACGTTCTTGGTTTAATCATTTCACTCGGCTAGATAGAGTAAGTGCTCAACACAAAGGTAATTGAACATACAGTACAATTCAACAAACATTTATTTAGTATCATCCTTTTGGCCCATGCAACCTGCTAGGCTCTTAGTATACAAAGCAAAAAATGAAAAGTTAAGTCCCTGTTCTTTGGTTACCTTTCACAGTATCGCCACAAAGAAACAGGTAGCAGCTATTATCTCCCACCTCCCACCTCCCACCCCCGCCCTCCTCCAAAAGAAAAAAAATGGGAACAAGTTTTATTAATAAAGCTTAATTTCAAGGAAACGAAATGTACCTAGCAGAAGCCAGCATCTACAAAATATGGGAACATATAATAGCCAAAAAAAAATTCAATCACTTATTCAATAAAGGAATAAAATGAAGTTTCAAAATCATACAAAACGAATACTTGTTTTAGTTACATGCGAAAATAAGCCTTTATTGGAAAAAATGAAAAGTTTTTAAAATTATTTTTTAACACGACTATTATGGAAATGCTTTGCCTGTAAAATTGCTTGCCTTCTCAATGAAGGGATGGGGTGGGGTGGGGAGAGAGCAAAGGACAGGATCTAGAACTCCAAGTTTTGAAAACTAATGTCAAAAAATTGTTTTTACATATAAGTGGGGAGAAATAAAAATACTACATTAAAAAGATACTTGTTTAAATTGATCATCCTGTGCAATTAAACCTAATGGCCAGGTGGGATGGGGTCTGATAACAGAGAGGAGATTTTCTCATAAAGATTGCATATACTGGACGGATGACTCGGCGTTTCACCTTAGCCGTTTTCCTCTCCCGTCAACCCGGCGGAGAAAGCGAAACCTTTACTATCAGCTGACAACCTCCAATCACGTGATGGCCCCGACGTCAGCTTCGGGCAGAAGCTGGACAGCTGAAGGCGCAGACGCTTTGTGCCCGGAAACAAAATGGCTGCTATCAGGACCGGGACTTCTTGGAGGTGAGCTTGGTGGTCTGTCTTGCCCCGCCCCGTCGGGGTCGCCGCGAGGTCAGCATGAGGCCCGTTAGCCGCCGCACTTTGAACTTCGTTTATGCCGTGGTAAGTTCGGGGCAGAGAGAACTCGAGGCACCCTCAGCCTGCAGGACGCAAGCTCCTTGGATTCTGGCTCTTTTTTCCTTGTTTGCATTCTCATTGCTTAGGGCGGGGTCTGAGACGTAGCAAACGCCTACTAATTTATTGTTGCGTGGGCACTTCGGTGCCGTCCACGAGCATCTGGTTCTCCTCTCCCCCCAGCTTTTTTTTTTTTTTTGAACCTGACCCAGTTTCACGGGTAGCAAGCTTCTGGTGAGCTCCGGGCCCGGAGCTGTAAAGCAACTTGCCTGGGGCCACAAGGCAGTCCCCGCCCCCCTCCTCCCTCCTCCCCAGTAATCATAACTTCTCTGTCCTTCCTGCTGTAGCTGCTGCTGGCCATCGTTTTCCTCTCTTGGGGGTTCGTGATCTACGCGTGCATGGTGACGTCACGGTCCATGCTGGAGAAGACACATCCAAATGTAATATTCAGTTTCTGGGGCTGAAGGAATATAACTGGCATTCGACATCAATCTTATCGGGCACCTTCTTTGGGACGTTATTTAGTTTAATAAAATCTGTAATGGGAACATTTTGTTTTCATTGTTGAGGGGGAGGGGGAGGGAAGAAGGACACACAATCATTTCTTCTCAGGATCCACCCTCACCAGCTTCAAACTGGAGGGTGATGACAAAACATCTGAAACTCCAGTCTGTGATTTCAGAAAGTTAAGCTGGTATCAGGTATTCAAGGAAAATATTGAGCAGCTGTTATACCCAACAAGTAAAAAAGTTTTAAATGTCTGGTTATTTCTGTTTTGCAATACTCCAGTCTTCTCAATGTCAAAATAGGCAACAAGAGACCATTCTTTTACATTGTTTAGCTTCTACTCAACAATTCAAAAAGACCTAGGCCCTAGGTAAGGAAGGGTATGAAGGCAATTTTTTTGAAGAGTAAACTTTATTAAGTTACTTATACAGAAAATATTTTCTGGTACAGAAACAAAAGTTGGATTTACAAGCTTTTGGAATTTTAAGAACATTTTTTAATGATAATCATGTATATCACAAACTTTCATTGGTGGAATCACTTCTCCAGTCTCCAGAATTTTATCACCCTGTTAAAAAACAAAGATCACAACAAATAGTTTACCCAGTTCTATTTACTTAAACATGTACAAAGCAAAGCAAGATATTTATTGAAATATTTAGTGCTTGAAAAAAATTCAAACTAGCAGGTACCTTTCACAATTTTAGTCCTGAATTGCATGTTAGTGGTGACTTGGTGAAATGTACTGAGATCATAGGATCATAAATTTAGGGATGGAAAGGGATTGTAAAGGTAATTTACATATCCTTCTATGGAGAAGGGAAACAAGACCAGAGAGATTAAGTAACTTGCCACTATTTAAGATGATAGGTCTAAATTTGAACTCAACTCCATCATTAATATAATTTATGTATAATTTCCAAGTTTGCAATATTTTTACCAAAATTTTGACCCATTTGTTTGGCTTATTATTCAAAACTGACTGTGTTGTCAGTGGATCACTTTAAATAAACACCAAGTTTCTGAAGGTACAGTCTTAGAATTTATGTCCTATTTTTTCCACTAGTCCCCCCCCCCACACAATATAAATATATATAAAATGGAAAAGAGGTATTTTGCGTGGGAACGACAACACAAAAGGCCTACTGCATTTTTCTCCCCAATCATTTACACAGCTCCAAAACATTTTTTCCACCTGTACATCCCAAGATAGGAGAGTAGGAGTTGAAAGCTTTAAGAGACTGCTACATTTCACATTGGGCAGCTTCCTGAGTTCAAATCTGGCCTCAGACACTTTCTAGCTGTGTGACCCTGGGCAAGTCACTTACCCCTGTTTGCCTCAGTTGCCTCATCTATAAAATGAGCTGGAGAAGGAAATGGCAAACTACTCCACTATCTTTGCCAAGAAAATCCCATGGACGGTATGGTCCACAGGGTCATGAAGAGTGAGACACTATTCAACAATGACCAAAATGAAGCTCAGGTTTTCCTGACTCCGTTGAGCCTGGTTCTTTCACTAATTCTGTGATTTGAGTAAGTATATAGTGGGAAAATGCTGAATTTGAAGTCTGAGGACCTGGGTTAGGTAGGATCCCAGCTTAGTCTGTAGCTCCAGACTTGCATGACCTTTTGGCAAGCCTTTTTGGCATTGTTCCCTCATCTGTAAGATGAGAAATCCAACTGCTGAGATCACTTTCACTTGTAGCTCTAACCTATAATACTAAATCAGTTCCACCTTGAGCTTGTTTCTCTAAACCATAAAGTAAGAGTTAGACTAAATGCTATCTAATGTTCTCTCCAGTTCTAATGTTCTGTTTCTTACTAAACATGTACCCTGGGTACAGAGAGTCCAATCATAAGATTCAGTTTGTTTGTTTGTTTTTTTCAAAGAACCTAACCCTTTTGTGATTCCCCTTAAAGGTAGCACATGCCCTGTATTGTTAATCTCCAATTTATCCTGTACATAACTTGTTTGTGCATAAATTGTTTCCATGGTGTAGGGCCCCCCCCATTAGAGTGTGATCTCCTTAAGAGCAGGGAATGTCTTCTTGCCTTTCTTAACACCCTCAGTGCTCAGCACGGTGCTTAATAAGACAATTTAAATAATAAAAGAATTAGATAATGCTAGGTGACTAGAGTTCACCAAAAAAGTCTAAGACTTGTCAACTTACTGAAGTGTTGAAGAGATCATTCTCCGAAAGCTTCATAAAAGGGAAATGATCTAGGCTTTGAATAATAAAGGTGACTATGAAATGTAGTACAATAATAGCTTACTTCAAGCATTTTAAAGTTTGCAAAATATTTTCCAAGTATCTCTTTTGGTGCACACAATACCCTGCAAGTAGTTGCTCTGATTTCCACTTTAAGAGGTGAGAAAACTGAATTTCAAAGAAATAAAGTGACTTGCCCAAGGTCTCAAAGCTAATAAGTTCTAGAGACAAAATCTAGCATGATTAATCCCAGGCAGCTTCTAAGTAAGAATAAACAAGACTGAGATAAGCTAGGAGGAGGTAGAAGTAAATATAACCAGGTTTAGTGAGTAGTCAGAGCAAAGGTTTGAGCTCTGAGTGTGTTCTGAGGTTAGTGCACATGTGTAATAGTAGTGTTTATTTTGCAAATACTAGATTTACCATGCATGTGCATGAATTTTATAGAAAAGTCAAAGTCCTGTTAATTAAATGATTAAAGAATTGGCAAATTTGGCAACCATTTTCTGATGGTTCATGAGAATAAAAGGCACCTTGTTTAGGACATAATTTAGCTTAATAAAACCTGTAATGGAAGATCTTGTTTTCATGGAGGGGGTGGGGGCAGTGAAGGGGAGGGCTCAGACTGGACACACAAACATTTCTTTCTGGACCACCCTCACCAGCTCAAAACTGGAGGTGATGACAAAGCATCTGAAATTCCATTTCTGCTTAAGTCCTCTTCAAGTATTACAGAATATGAGACTCTAGTCTGTGGTTTCAGGCATTTAAGCTGGTATCAGGTATACAAGGAAAATATTAAGCATTTATTATACCCAACAAGTAAAAAGATTTTAAATGACTGGTTATTTTTGCTTTACAATATTCCAGTCTTCTCAATTTCAAATTAGGCAACAAGAGACCATTCTTTTTTCTGGTTTAGTTTCTACTCCACAATTCAAAAAGACCTAGGGCCAAAATATGGAGAACATTAAATGATAAACTAAAGGGCTATAAAGGCATCTGAAATAAAGGAATGGCAGGGTGACAACACAGTTAGGTGGAAAGAGGACTTGACTTGGAATCAGGAGATCTGAGTTTAAATCCCAGTTATAACCCAGTTTAAAGCCCAGGCCTTGGGCAAATCACTTAACCTAAGTCAATTTTCTTACCTGTAAAAATGGGGATATTATTTGCATTATCTGCCTCACAAAGCATTTTATGAGTTTCATGTTTTACATAAATGGATTTATTATTTTGCTCAAAGTAATGTTTTAGGAAGATTAAGCTGTAAGGCACATAATGCTTGCTGACTGACTAAATACTGACTTTGCTTTTATGAATACACAATTCACTACCTCAGGGAGCTGTGATTTCATCATTCTACCAATGACTATGACAAGGGCTATGACTCCTCCACACTTTGATGATCTAATGAGTTTCTGTGACCAAAAAAAAAAAAAAAAAATCAAAACCTGGTGGCTGACCATTCATCATTTAGTTAGGCTAATCCTAAAATGACAGTTCATTGGGAGGTCCCTATTCAAAACTGTTTCAGTCTGATGGGCCCCAACCAGGGCTTGTGCTCTGCTTTGCCAGTAAGAACTGAATGAGGGTCCAAGAGTCAAATTTTATGAATCCAAAAAGATAACACTAAATTACCATAATGCTATATTATATGTAATGCTATATGTACAACTAAAGTCAGAATTTGAAAATGGGGTCATTAGTAAAAAGAAATGACAAGCGGGTTACTAGGAATGATCCAGGGATTAGAACTGGAGACCCTGTGTCCATATCAGCTCTGACTACCATGCTAATTAACAAGATAAACTCAAGCCACTCTAGGTGATCCAGGAGTTGTGCCAAAGAATTCTGCATCTTTTGGACATAGTGCTCAGTGAGCATTAGCATCTGGGTAGATTAACTGAAGGCAGCATGCTGCCTCTTCCTACCCCTATAGAGAGGTAATTGCCAGTGACAAACTATAGGAACCTAAAATTCTCCAAAACAAACTTAACACTGCCCAAGGTCACATAGCATGTTACTTTTCTATCCAGACTGCCCACTCCAGCCATTACTAACAAGCAATGCTTCCATTTTCTACCTTTTCTTTTACAATACGTAAAGCAAGATTTAGACAACAAGGGGTAAAACATTAGATGATGGTAAGGCAACATGAAATAAAAAAGAACTAAAAGAAAAAAATTCAGAAAAATAAGTTGAAAAGACTTACTGGAAATATTTTGGGTTTCTTTTCAACGATGCCATATGGCCTTGTCTGCAACAAAAATAAGGTTCTGTTAATTTATTTTGATACTTTCTTCTAAAACTAAAGAATAACATTGTCAATAAGCACTTATTAAGTATATATACCCGTCCAATTATTTAAAACATAAATGGCTCTTCCACTTTCAGAAGTTAAGAACATTGTTATGCAACCATTGTTTTAGGGAAATAAACAGTTTATAAGGTCATGTGGACATAGAAATATAAAAATAACCTTTATATTCACAAGTTGCAAATATCTTGAAGCACATTTTCTTTCAAGAAATAAAATGCCTAAAAATTTTCTACCAGTTTTAAAAATCATTTTCTACTTATCTAAAATGTCACTTGAAAACATACCAGTATTTCTCAGTTTATGAGCCAGGAATAGAACAAAACCAAATTAACTTTTATTACCCAGAAAAGCAAAATCATTTAAGAATTCTGAAAAGATATCATCTGCATAAACTCTGGATAAAATAACTACTGTACTACCATTCTCCTATTATCTTCAGACATATACAGACCCTGAGACCGCTTCATTCAATTTATAAGACTTTTCCTTTCTTGGATAGAAGGAACTGGAGCTAAAAATTTGCCTAAAGCACCCTAAATTATGGTATTACCTATCCAAAATGGAAACATAATACAGATATAGGATTTACAACTTATTCATTTGACATGGATGTTCAGAAATAATACACTTAAAAATGGTTATTTTGTAGGTATATTATTGGGTCTTGGTCAGTTGTTCTCAAAAAAGCATGGTATTCTTTGCTGTACAGAATTATGACATACTAAACATTTAATTTGGCAGCACCATGGGAGGGTCAGGTTTCTCATATATAAAGTGTTTTTGTTGACTTTTTTTGTGAATTTGAGCTCTGATGTGTTCCGAGGTAAGTGCATATGTATAATAACAATATTGTTTATTTTGCAAATACTATATGTTACCATACATGTGCTTGGTTAGTTTAAAAAAAAAATTGGGAGGTAGTAAGAGAGGAGAAAGGAAAAAAGGAGAGAGAAAATGGAGAGAACAGAAAGCTGCTGAACTCAGAATCAAGAAGACCTATCTCTAAATACATAATGGCTGTGACCTCTCACAAATCATTTAACCTATCAGTGCTCTAAGCAGCTTTCTAAAAAAGCTGAATTGAAGAGAGGGTGCAATCTGCATGGAGCAGTAAAATTTATATTAAGCAAAACCATTTATAAATTTTATTTTATCTGCAATAATATAAAATCCAACATATTACAGCATAGTTTGTAGCACATTATTATATTATGACACATCCTTTGAGAACCACTGGCTTAGATGACAAAGACATTTCAGTACTTTAAGAACACTGTAAGAGTCAGAAAACCTGGAATCTACTCCCAACTAAACCATGAGACTCTCAACAAGTCACTTAATCTTTATAGGTCTTTTTTTCTCATCTGTAAAATCAGGTTCTAAGACTTCCTTCTCCTTATGAGTTAAAGATTATAGAAAAAAAAGAGAAGTAATTGAGCTGAATAAGGAGAAGGAAAATATTTGGTGGTTTGGAGGGCAATTAAATTTAGCAAAGAAAAATTTTGGAGAAATTGAGGAAAACCTGGAGGAAAACCTCCAGGTCCACATTCTTTAAGTGAAACTTAAGAGAGTAGGAAAGAGGGTCACTAGTTTTTACATAATATGTGATTTAAGTAAGTTATTTCAGGGAATCCTGTAGCCTCAAAGAATCAATCCTTTGTTCACTCCATGTAGGTTGGATGTAAAATACTTTTTTGCTCCTAAGCAAGTCATTAAACCTGTCTCCCTCATTTTCCTCATCTGTAAAATGGGGAAAATAACAGTACCTAACTCCCATGGTTGTTGCGAGGCTCAAATGACATAATACTTGTAAAGGGCTTAGCACAGTACCTGGCATAGAAAACGTGCTACAGAGTTCTGGTTCTATCTACATGTTACCCACAACACTGAACAACAAATAAGTGTCACATTAATAAATCGTTTTGTGCGTTAAAAAAAAAAAAAGGAATCTGATTAAGGAGGAATGGTGAGCAAGAACTTGAAGAGAAGTACTCAAAGAGAAGGTAAAGGATATGTAGTAGGCAAAACAAGAAAGAAAAGGTAAATGAAACAAATTGGTGCATAAAGCAATTTGATACAGAGGATTACGGAGTGAGGCAAAGTTGGTGAAAGAAAGGAGCCTGGGAAAAGGAGAGAGAAGAGTGGCTCTGAGAGTTGTTGAGACTAAAAAAATAAATTGATTGTATAGTCCAGGAGCTTTAAGGGTGTTTTGAACTACACATAGGTAGATCAAAAAACAAGGCTTTAAAAAACTGAAATCAGTAGGCTAGTAGGAAGAATTTTGCAATGATATGCTTTGAGTGCATGGTGTTTGTTATTCTGCCATACCAACTGACTGTGTTTCAAATGTACAATTGTCTCTCTTCTGGAGAGGAAGACCTGGAACAGACTCAAAGTTATAAGAACAAAAAAGTGTTTCTTTTTTAAAAAATGAAAATAGGGTTTCAACTAAAAAAAGGAAAAATAAGATGTCTGAAGTGGAAGAGGGGAAATTTACCCTTATCAAGAGGCTAAGGAATAGAAGAATTTAAACACTGAGAAAGAAAAGAATCAATTTACATTCAGAACTAAAAAACTAAGGCTTTTCCTTAAGAGGGAAAACTAGATGTTTTGAGGAGGAAGTAGATGCTTGTTCTTCAAGGAATGAAACAGTAGAGCTATAAAGAAGCTTTTAGGTTCAAGATCATCATAAATGTTGGAAGAATAGAAGAGTAATAATTATGACTACTCTTTTGGTCCAAGAATTATCAAAAAGGGATGACTAAAAAAAACAAAAACCAAAAAATGGATTACTAATCACTTCTTGTGATTCATATGGATACATGCTATTACCAAAAAGAGACCAAAAGTATTGTCTCAAACTACAAAATCTTGAACAAGAAACTAAAGAGCATAGTGACCCAAGTTGTGTATTCCACTGCTCCCCAGTAAAGGCAAGGAATGTAGAGGAGAAAAACTCATCTGGATGGTACTAAGAACATAGTATACAAGAATGGGATTTTGGACTATGGTTTAAAATGCAGGGATGACAAAACTCCTTCCCAGGGATGAAGTGCACCTAACGAAGGCCTACAAAAGTTTATTTCCTAGGTGTCTTGTAAATCTAGGCAAAGGGGTTTAAAAAAAAAGTTAGCTTAGGGACAAAACCATCATTGTATAGGCACAACATAGATAACATAGAAACAGGAGCTCTAGTGAATGAAGAACAGTGGTTGAGACACCTGGAAGTTCATAGAAGAACAAAATCCAAGAAAGGAGCCAGCAGTAAAACCCATGGCCTAATATATGTATATACAAATGTCTAAAGCTTAAGGAACAAAGAGAAATGAAAGTATGAACTTTTGAAGAGAGGAAAACTGGCTTTGTGGACAAAGATGGTGGTTGAATTCCTGGAGGTTGCTGGGAGCATCACTGAGAGAGAGAGAAGAGCTCAGGACACAGCCTTGGAGTATACTCAAATGGAAGGAGTAGGACATAGATCCTGGGCAGGGAGTAGGTAGATGGATCCTGTTGATCCTGAAAAGAGACTGGGAAGAATCTGTCAGACCTGCCAGAAAACAACCACCGCCCGAGTGTATCACAAAAAACCAAGGCAAGAACATTCAGAGGGTGACGGAGGGACTCTTTAGTATGTAAACTTCTATTTTTGCAGATCAGCCACTGTAATTTACAGTCTTCACTTCCTTCTAACACTGAGGAAGTACAATCAACAAGATTTGGCAAGTAATAAGCTCAGAGAAGAGTTAAGGAGTTAAATGAGACTGAGGAGTTGAAGAGAAGTCTTGGTTGCAGAGCATGAGTGACTGGAAGAGTGGTGGTAAACCCATCAGAAATAGGACAGCTAAAAGAAGGGGCAGGCTCAGGGAGGAAGACAATTTCTGATTTGGACATGTGAACTGAGCCTTTGGGGTATCCAGGTGGAGATGTCAAACAGGTAGTTGAAGATATCAGACTGGATTGTTGTTTGTTACAGGATTGTTACTGTTTGTCCTTCGTTGTTGATGAGTATCATGACATAATGAAGGTGATGCCATGACTTGCAAGTGAAATGGACTGAAGTGAGGAGGGCTGTGCAGAGTCACCAGCCTCACTTTCTCCCCCAGAGCCACGTGGATCCAGTGGCAAGATACAGATCAGGATGACTGGAGATGGCCCCAGGTTAAGTAAGGTAATGAATTAATCCAAGAGGTGTAAAAAGACTGCCTCAAAATGGACTCAAGAGAACATGGGAAGGAAAGCATTTATATAGCACTCACAATATGTCGGAGATTATGCTAAAGCTTTTGACAAATTATCTCAATTGATCCTCACAACCCTGGGAGGTAGGTGCTATTATTATCCCCATTTTACAATTGAGGAAACTGAGGCAACAGAGAATAGGTGATTTGCCCAAGGTCACACATTAGTGTTTGAGGCCAGATTTGAACTCAGGTCTCCCAGGTTCTAGGCCCAGCTCTATCTATCCATTGCACCTCCTAGCTGGCTCTGAGGAAAGAGGGCTGGATTCATGATATCTGGGAGTCCTTTGCACCACCACCCTAGTTCAGGTCAACATAACCTCTTACGTATTACTTTAGCCTTTTCATTATTGTACTTAGTCTCATCTTCCAGAAAACTGCCAAATTGATATTCCTGAAGCAGGAGGGTGACCATGTCACTATTCTCTGCTCAAGGTGCTTTAGTGGCTCCCCATTGCTTTTAGTGCCAAATTCTTCTGGTTGTTCATAATCTGGCTCCAGCATATCTTTCCATAACGATTAGGTATTATTCTTTCATGCCCTGCTTCAGCTCCATGTACCTATTTGCAGCTCCCAATTATGAGCGTGACTCTTCTGCTTCCCTGGCTGCATGTCCCTGCCCTCTAGATAATTCTTTGTTCATTTTGTACATATCCTGTCTTTACTTATCTCTGAATACATTGTATTTCCCCAGCAGAACATAAGCTCCTTGAAGGCAGAAATGTTTTCATTTTTGCCTTTGAATACCCAGCACCTACCACAATGCCTGCACAGATTATGTGTTTAATGAATGCTAGCTGACTAATTAACTTATTCTCCTCCTTCTTGTACTGCCAGAACCCTTGGTCCTAGGCTTCAAATCTACGGCAAATACTATTAGTTGTAGAGTTCAACTCCTTTATGAATTTCATTGGCTGTTCCAGGACCACCCCCATCTCACCCCCACCCCACCTCCACATTATTTCTCTAATAAAATGCATTCCAAATAATCAAATTCAAAGGAAGGAGTCTTGGGGACACTGACCCTTCAGTTTTTAAGTTGGAAATTACAAAGTAAAGCAATTTGACGTACACCTGGATAACAGTTAGCTTTTCATTATTTTACAACAAAATAAATGCATAACCCCAAACAATATTTACTTCAAATACTTACTTGTACATGATATTTGACATAATAGTGAACAATCCAGGCTGGTATAAGGAAATTAGCAAAAACAAACATTCCATTTCGATATGTCTTAAAAGCCTAGAAATAAACAAAAGTGAATGTTTGGAGCATACATACCAACTAAATTCACTGTAATAACATTATCTGTACATATAAGCTGTGTATTTTCTAAACCTCTATAAGATGTTCACACAATTTTTTTTCAAAAAACCCTGGCCTAAGATCCCTACTGAGGGCAGGACCGCTGAGGGAGAATTACACACCCATTACAAAGCAAGTCAGGCATTAAGGCAAAGGGTTTTTTGTAAGAATAACAGAGTAAGACTTTTAAAAAAATATATTGGGGCAGCTAGGTGGTGCAGTGGATACAGCACCGGCCCTGAATTCAAGAGGACCTGAGTTCAAATCCGGCCTCAGACCAAACACTTGACACTTACTAGCTATGTGACCCTGGGCAAGTCACTTAACCCCAATTGCCTAAAAACAAAAACAAACAAAAAAAGAAATATGTTAGGTATATTTTACCACACAACCTGGATAATGTCTAAGATTTTATATATAAATTATGAAAAAGTTTTATTCAATAGAAATCTCTAAGTCAAATTAACCCCATTGAGTTATCAATTTCCAATCCCAAACGTACAGTAAGTTAAGCTCCATTTACCCTGTGCTTCTAAACATAAGAGAAACAACACTGAACCTACAAACTGAGAAAACTATTTTCTCTGGGGTTGAGCAAAAATCAGCAGCAAGTGACTTCTGAGGGTCTGAAGCTGCCTTCATAAACCTACTGAACCCAAAATCATTCCTGAGAGGATTAACTGGAAAGTCAGTGATGGGGAAACAAACAGGGAATATGGTGTACTGGAGGGTTAATTAATATCTATATAATCAACATGTAGCTTGCAACTATAAAAGAATAGATGGAAGGTTTGCCTGGACACCTTGACAAAGTTTTAATAAAGTACAATGATATTCTTAACATAAAAGGTATTGAAGAAGAAAACGTGAAAGTGAGAGAGTAGTGTCTGGGAGGGAAAGGGGAGAAATTAAACAAATTTTTTTGGAGGGGCGATATGTGAGCAGAATGGTGCAATGTAAGGAATGGTGAATCTCCAGTCAGAAGACTTAGGGTCAAATTCTGGCTTTGCCATTTATTACTTCTCTGACCAGAGAACAATTCATTTTTTACCTCTCTGGCCCACAGTTTTCTCATCTGTGGAATGAGACCATAAAGCAAAATACCTGATAAACTGTTGATCTCTCAAATTTATCCCAATTTTTGCAATAACTTAATCTAACAAAAAGTTAAAATCATAAGTGAAATAATAAAATCCAAACTATTTAGCTTGTTTTTTAAGGCTACATATTTCATCTTTAACAAAACAACAGTAATGCTATATTTACTTCTATGTCATATTCCAAAGTGAGCAATTAGACGGGGAAGATGTGAATACTAGGAGTGAGACAAAGAATCACTAATAAGTCATGACAGAGTAGGTCATTTAGAGTCCCATCTTTGCTACTAGATCTGTAAGTTACCTAACTCAAATCATGTAAGACAGCTGGATGGTGTAGTTAATAGAGTACTAGGCCTCAAGTAAAGAAACTTCGAGTTCAAGATGGGCCTCAGACACTTGCTAGCTATGTTATCCTGGGCAAGTCTTAACTTCTGTCTTTCTCAGTTTCCTCAACTGTAAAGTGGGGATAATAATAGCTCCTACCTTGAAGGGTTGTGAGGATCAAATGAGATAGAGCACTTTGCACAGTGCTTGGCACATAATAGGTGCACTTAGAGTGCCAGGTACACATAGTAAGCACTATACAAATGTTTATTCTCTTTCATTCATGACTGTTAACTGCTAAGCCTGAAATGCCTCCCCACTAACTATTTTAAAATTTAATTTAATTTAAAAAAATGGGACTGAAAACAGGTTATCTCTTAAAGTCAATAAGGCTGAAACACTTATATCATAGCTGTAGTGAAGCCCCTTGAGGATGTTTTTGCCTTTCTTTGTGTCCCCAATGCTTAGCATGGTGCCTCATACAGAGTAGGGGCTTTAATACTTGTTGACTTGACTTGGACATTAATTATCATTTCAACATATTTAGATGCTGAAATAATTAATATTAAATCCTCACCATAATGACAGTTCTTTTTAAAATATTGTGATATTTCATTTTTACATTACATTTATAGATTACTCACACTTTGAGAGATTTGTGACAAAATAAAACTGTCAAGAAAGTATACACAACATTTTACATCTGTAGGCATCCTTCCCACCTTAATTAACAAATCTTTTTTTCTCTCCCTCTCCCTACCCCAGTGACAAAAAAAAAAAATTCTTAAAACATATATGCATAGTCAAGCAAAACAAATTCCCTCAATGGCTGCATACAAAAATGTTTACCTCATTTTGTACCCTAAATTTATCATCTCTCTGTCATGGATAGCATGTTTCAGCATCAGTCTTCTGAAATCATGAATGGCCACTGTATTGATCATAGATCTTACAGCTTTCAAAGTTATATTTTACAGTGTTGTTACTGTATAAACTATTTTCCTGGTACTGCTCATTTCATTCCTCATCAGTTGACCCAAGTCCTCAAAATTGTTCATTTTTATAATACTAATGTCAGAGGATAAACTGTTCTTCTGGTTCTGCTCACTTCACTCTGTATTAGTTCATAGAAGTCTTTGCTTTTTTTCTGAAATCACCAATTTCCTTATTTCTTGCAGCACAGTAATACTCCATCACATTCCTATACCATGGCTTATTCAGTCATTCCTCGATTGAAGGGCATACTTTTTTTTTTTTTACATTTTTTTTCTTTTTTTTTTTTAGGCAATTGGGGTTAAGTGATTTGCCCAGGGTCACACATCTAGTAAGTGTCAAGTGTTTGGTCTGAGGCCTCATTTGAACTCAGGTCCTCCTGACTTTAGGGCCAGTGCTCTATCCACCGCGCCACCTAGTTGCCCCAAGACATACCTTTAATTTCCAGTTCTTTGCCTCCTCAAAAAAGCTACTCTAATTTATTTTTTAAATAAAAGGCTTTCCTCAAGTGTTAGTTGACTGACCTTGTTTGAGTATAGGCTTAGCAGTAGCATAGTGGGGTTTTTTTTAAGTTTATCAATTTTTTCTGTATAATTCCACATTGTTTTCCAGAATGGTTGTACCAATTCATGGGTCCAAAGTCCTTCAACATTTACTATTTTCCTTTTTTGTTATCTGTTACTCTGATGAGTATGAGGTGAAATCTGAGTTGCTTTAATTTGCATTTTTCTAATTAGTAGTGATTTGGGGCATTTTTTCATAAGGCTGGATTTCTCCCCTTAAGAAATACCTGTTCATATCCTTAGACCATTTATCAAGTAGGGAATGATTCTTTTTCTTATAAATTTGAATCAGTTCCTTAAATATTCTGGTTTATATGCTGTTAATTGTTTTCTTTTAATGTATAAAAATCTGTCTCCCCCTGTGTTTAGGGTCCAGTGCCAAGCCAAGGAGGCCTGGTCCTTATTTGTTATGCAATTGGCATGTATTGCTTAATAAATTAATATGCTCAGAAGTTTGAACCTTTGTTTCCTCAGTTATTTCAGATTTTACCGGTCACATAAGACTTTTGTCAGAAAAACTTATTGCAAAGATTTTTTACCTAGATATTTGTTTCCTTTTTATTCTTAACTTCATTAGATTCATTTGTGCAAAAAGTTTTAAATTAAATCAAAATGATCTATCTTATCTTCTGTGAAGGGATGGGCATTTTTAAGTACCTACAATGCGCTGAAGTCTTTTATGAATATCTCATTTGATGATCTCTATTCTGTGATCTCTATTCTGTGGGTCATGAACTTTTCTCCTACCCATAGATATGATAGGGAATTTATTCCACGTTTCTCTAATTTGTTTACAATATGACTTTTATATCTAGGTGTGACATACCCATTTGGAGCTTATCTTGGTATGATGTTGATGTGCTAAATCTAATTTCTTCCATACTGCTGTCCAATTTTCCCAGAAGTTTTTATCAAATAGTGAGCAGCTTTGTATTTATCAAATCATAAGGTGTTACATTTTCCGTATCTTGTAGACGTAATCTGTTCCACTGACTGGTATTTCTTAAATGGTACCAAATTATTTTAATAATAACTGCTTTGTATTATAGTACAGTATAGTATAGTAAAGGACCTGCTAGGTCCTTTCTGTTACCATTTCTTTTCATTATTTCTCTTGAGATTAGTGACCTTTTTTTGGTCTCCATATGAATTCTATTATTTTTTCTAGTTTATAAAGTAATCCTTTGATACTTGATTGGTATAGCATTGAATAAGTAAATTAATTCAGCTATAGTATTGTCATTTTTTATACTGGCTCATCCCACCTATAAGCAATTAGTATTTTTCCAATTATTTATGTCTTTCTTTATTTTGTAAACAGTTGCTTGTAGTTCTATTTACATAGTTCTTGTATATATCTTGAAAGGTTGACTCAAGTATTTTGTACAATCTGTAGTAATTCTGAATGGAATTTGTCTTATCTCTTCTTGCTAGGTTTTAATGGCAGAAATGCTGATGATTTTTATGGATTTATTTTATATCCTTCAAGTTTGCTCAATTTGAATTATTTTTTTTTGTCTTTAGGGTTCTTTAAGTACATTATCATATCATCTGCAAAAAGGAATAATTTTGTTTCTTTTTTACTTATGAGGATTTCCTCAATTTTGTTCCTATCTTAATTCTACATCCAGCATTTCTACTGCTGTGCTAAACAGGAGAGGTGACAATGGTTGCTGTTATTCATCCTTTCTTCTCGAAGGACCAATGAGGACTTTCACATGAATTAGATATAAGTGGGGCAGAACTGCAGAAAGGTCAGCTTCACACTCTCCTCCAGAGTGATCAAAGTCCAGTGGTGAGACAAAGGTCAAGATGACTAGGGATGGCTCAGGATGCAGTGGGTGACCTTGGCCTTTCTAAATTAAGGCCAATGAGACTCCTCTATTACCAGGTTGCATGCCCCTAGGATATCTCACTCAGATAAATGCCTCAGCTTGCCCTTAAGTCATAGATATTTTAAACTAGAAAGGACTTCAGAGATCACCTAATCCAAGCTTACTTTCTTCTTTCATTTTGGTTTAAATTAGCACACTAAGACCCAAAAAAGTTAGATGACTTCCCAAGGTCACACAGCTAATTAGCGACAGAATGGTGATTAGGTCAAGTTCTCACCATTAATTTGGTGACAATGAACATTAGTGACAGCTCACAGACTGTTCTGTAGGATGGCAATTTTCAACCAATGGCATTCAAATTTTACTTGTTGTCAGGACTAGGTAAAGCAAAGGTTGACTAAGAGTTAGAGCATCTTGGAGGGAGCTCTAGAGAGCTCTGTCTGCCTCTTTTATTCTAACAATAATTAAGTTAAACACTGTTTAACTTAACAATTAAGTTAATAATTAATTAAAATACTGCTTTTCCAAAACCATACCACATTGTATATAGTCTTAAAAAAAAGGGGAGGGGGAAGGACCTTTACATTTTTGGAAATCATAAGGCCAGACACGTAAGGGAAGAGATAGGAGCAGTGTAGTAGCAAGGGAGAGGGAATAGAGGGAAAAGTCTTCTCACAATGTGGGATGATCAGTTTTGAATAGTGGCCTAGAGACTGTTTTGGGAGACTGTCTTTTCTAACACCACTAATGATGATTTCATATTTACACAACCCTTCAGGCTTTCCCATATATAACAATCATAACAATCCTGTGAAGGTATTGCTATATCCACTTTAATAATAGTTGTTATTAGCAGTAAGTAGTCAATGGTAATAGCTCTTTAAGTTTTGCAAAGCACTTTACAAATATTATATCATTTTATCCTCCCAACAACCATGGGATGTGGGTGCTATTATTATCCTCATTTTACAGACAAGGAAACTGAGGCAGATTTTACAAGAGAGGAAACTGAATCTCAGTGACGTTAGAAACCTCAAAAATGTCCCTGTTGTTGCACTAACAACTTAATTATTTCCAACTTATCCTGTATATAGCTTGTTTGTACACAGTTGTTTGCACACCGTCTCTCCCCCATTGGACTGTGAGCTCACTGAGAGCAAGGGCTGACTACCTTTTACTTTTCTACCTCCAGAGCTTAGCACCATTACTTGGACATAGTAGGCACTTAATAAACAAAACACTTAGTTTATTTAATTTAAACTTAATAAATAAAAATAATTAAATTAATTTAGTAAACGCTGACTGACTGACAAAAGGAAATGCTCCCGGGATGGATATTCAGAGGAGCAAGGCCTCTGGAGGTGCTTCCCCCTCCCCGCTTTTTTTTTTTTTCCAGGGAGGGAGGAGGCACGTCCTAGGGTAAGTGGGGCCGGGGTCACCGTCACTCACAAATCTCCTCCAGATGGAGTCGGTCTGCAGGAAGTTCTCCCAGAAGCCCGACAAAGTCTTCTGCCGGGGCAGTACGGGCTCCCGGGGGCTCAGCTCCTGGTCCTTTAGCCACTGTCTCCTCAGGGCTCGCAGCTGCTCCAGCCGCAGCTTCTCATCTGGAGTGAACCCCGACATCTCCTCAATCTCGCCGCCTAGAACAAACTGGATCGAGCCGCAGAGACCCCTGCTCAGGGACCAAGCGACCTTGCCCGGACAGTAGGCAGCGACGCTGGCGCCCGGTGATGACGTAGGCACCTGCTCTCCAGACCCGTTCCAACGATCGGCAGCCCTGGGGCAATGATGGAAATAAAGGCGGGGAGTGGAGGAGAACGAAGGCTGCGAAAGGCGGAGTGGGGAACGTCGAGAGGATCTGCGCACGCGCGCGTGTTTCCTTCTCACAGATGGCTTGGCGCCTCCTGGTGTTCAGAATTGCAGTGAAAGAATTAAAGTGGCTGCTGCTTTTGCTTGACCATCCATCCCTAGGGCTTAAAGTGCAAGTGTGGAATTCTGACTTAGCAGGCGTATTTAGACTTTGGAAGATGAAAGTCATAAAACACTGACTCACTTCCATCCTTCCTGTAGTGAATTCACCATTCATGCAAGCGAGTTGCAATATAAGCTAACTGCCTCTTCTGCCGCTTCCATGACTTGAAATGTTATTGGCCAAACTTTAATCAAGCATCCCCTATGTGAATGTAAGGCACTGTGGGAGGTGCTGGGAATACCAAGACAAAATGAAAAAATTCCTGCCCTCTATTATATACATTAATACATTTCTTAAAGTTGTAACATACAAGGTTAAGTTTTTTTTCTATTTTTGTAAATATATAATGTTTTACCAATCAGTCTGGGAGAGACTGCATGATGTAAAGAACACTGCATTTTAAGGCAGAAGTTGTGGGGTTGAAAATGAGGTTCTGCTATTTATGACCACCGTGACATTAGGCAAGTCACTTAATCTGTCTGGGCTTCAGTTTCCTTATCTGTAAAAGTATCTGGTTTGATTAAATATGGTTCCTTCCATTCTGGTTTTATATCACATGTAAATCCTATCTGCAGGATTCATTCACTCAACAACTAATTTATTAAAGGTCATGTTATTAGCTGCCTATTTCAAAATTACCAACTATCTTAATTCTCAAATCCAATGTTTTTTTCTGTTCTCATGCTCCTTGGCCTCACCCTTGCTACATCTGAAATTGTTGACCACCTCCAAGATACTCTCTTCTCTGAGTTTTCATGACACTGTCTCCTCCTAGTTCTCCTCCTACCAATCTAAGAGCTCTTTCTCAGTCTCTTTTGAAGTTTCACCATCCAGTTAAGTCCACCTTCTAACTGTGGGTGTTCCTCAAGGCTCTATCCAGGGTCCTATTTATTATCTTTTCTTTCTATACTCTCTGATATAGTGACATCTTTAGCTCCCATGATTGATTATCTCTATCCTGGTGATACCTAGCTGTAGACTCTTTCCTCAGATTCAGTAAGCATCACTTACTGGTTATTGGACATTTCACGTTAGACCCCACTTCCCCCTAGACTTAGTATCACAGTGATCCCTCATTTAGGAAGATATTGAATCCATTAAACTGCCTTCAAAAGGAGAATGGGAAGGGGGAGGGTAAAATTGTGTGAGGCTATTTACCTCTAAATAGAATATCCTGCTTTTATTAAGCCTCTTTTAACCTCTTAAATTTGTTCAGTCTTGCCTCACTATATTGCCTATGGTCCAGATTCATGTATCATAATATTTCTCTACAACTGGGGAGTTTGTTAGAATTATTATTTTTTTTTAGCCAAAGACAAGGTTATTAGAACATTTGTCATATTGGGCAGACTCTTAAGGAGTCTGAACATTAGAGAGCTACTGGCTAGATTATAAGAATCTGAGCAGTGGCTAGATTTTAAGAATCTGAGCACCTTAATGGAGACAAGATGGACCTGCTATACAGAAAGACTGTGGGAGAAATCTAGGAGTGGCTAAGTAGTCTGGGGGAGGGGAGGACTGTGAGGTAATAGAATGCCAGGGACCTGGACCACTTGGCCAAGGGAGAATGGAGCCTAGCTGGGATTAAGGATTAAGGATCCTAGATTAAGGATTTAAGGCCATAGAGAGATAAGACAATGGAGGGCCAGGCTAGGTTAAGGGTTAAGGCTAACAGTTTGGGCATAGCCACAATGAAAGGCCAGTTGATGGGATTATAGCCTCAGGCAACACCAGAGTTTTGGCCATGTGGGAAAGTCCAGGGTTTTTCCTTTTTGGAGTCTAGATCCCATCCTCATCATTTCCCCCTCAAACAAATGGGATCCAAATTCTTTTGAGGTAAGTAAGGGATGAAGGACTTGGCTTCTGAAACTGCTTCCTGCTGGCAAAGGGTGTAGAGCTGTCACTGCCTCAAGGGGGTCCCAAAGAGGAGGTTGACAGGAACCAAGCACAGGCTGCATTCAGGGAACAATGGGGGGACATTGGCTGGTACCCTCTGTTTGCTACCAACTGTAGGTGAATGGCCTGTAGTCTAGAAGACACAAATCTGACAGAAAAGATTGCAGGGCCCAGATATGACAGGATAAAACATCCTTAGTTCTGTTTGGATTCAGAGAATTCAGTTTTCCAACCATACAGTATCAAATCCACTTCATAGCCAGACTCAGGAATAGCCCGGTGGGTAACATTCCTTTTTCAAAGGAACATAACAGGGAAATTGAGCCAGGAGGATACCATCTTAGACTGAGGCTAAAATTGTCCTCTCAGCTTTTCCCAATGTTGACTTCCCACCAGTATCACCTTCTCTGAGTAGCTTGTGGCATTCCTCTCAATTGGATTATTGATTATCAGTGGATTAAGATCCATCAGACAACTCAAAATAAAATCCCATGAGCTTTTTTACTTCAAACAGCAAGTTTCACTAATTACAGCTTAGGAAAAAATTTTCCAGGATTTAAATCTCAAGTTTAAATTTGTCCTGTTGTAAAAAGCCAATCATTAGAGATTTCTACATGCAAATTCTCAGCAAATCAAAACCCAAACAAGCTTTTTGGCAAGTTTACTCATTAAAACAACAACCAACAATAGCCAAATTATTTTAGTGGTAACCAAATTATGAAAAATTGCTTGACATAACTGATATAAAAAGTTCACCAATTTGAAACTTGAAACAAACCATTACCAACCAGATGACTTCAGTTTTGTTAAATGCATTTCCAAATTAATTTACACGAAGAATCAACATCTCATCATTAATTTTAAAACTACAAATTTAAAAGAGCGTGCTTACCCAAGTGGGGAGGCTAGCTTCTTAACCTTGGGCAGGATGTGCTGAACCCAGGTGATGCTTCCAGGCAAAGGTTGCCCTAGGGCTGAAGGCCATTGCCAGCGGGGCCCACACTGTAGCTGCTGCCCCCCCCTTCCTTTCCCAGGTGGGGGAGGGCAAAATCAAAGGTGAGGGGTAAAGGGTGAAACTCTCTTCTCCTATGAGAGAGGTTAACAGATGCCCTCTTGACTCAAGGGAAGGGAGTGACCAGGGTCGTAAGGAAGTGTTTCAAAACTCCTTAATGATCAATCACAAAACCTCCAGAATCTGCCAAGATGTTTTTAGCTGTTCTAACTTTTCCCTGTAATCTCCATGAAGAAGGATTCAGGGGTGTAGTGGGAAGGGGATAAGTAAGCCTCAGGGAACCAAAAAACTACTGCAGTTTTCCCCAATTCCCTAGCCCAGAGAGAATTGACCAAATTGGGCATACACTTCCTGATAGGCTGTCTGTCCTTGTCCTCTATGCTACGGAAGGTGTACCCAGGTCCATGGCCTTGAACTGACCTAGTGGACCGAGAGCCTGAGAGTGTCAGGCTGAGTGCTAGACAGCCTCATAACTGTTTGTCTAAAAAGCACCTCCAAAACTTTGGTTCTTAGAGAGCGACCCCAACTACAGAGCAAGAAAGGGCAGGGGGGAGGCTTACATACCTCACAGTCTTGGCTAGAGAAGAACTTGGGGGTAGGCAGTTTCCCTATATGGGACACCAAAATGTTGAGGTTTAGGGGTTTAGGGGTGCTGGTACTCCAAAATCACAAAACGACAGTCCTGGCTGAAAGAATTTAACCCAAGCCTTCTTTCAGCCAAAGACAAAGTTTATTAGAACATCTGTCATATGGGGCAGATTCTTAAGGAGTCTGAATGTTAGTGAGCTATTGGCCAGATTATAAGAATCTGAGCCAGTTTGTAAGAATTATTTAAAAAAAAAAAAAAACCCCACAAAGCTATTTTCATTTGGATCAGCCCCCAACCAGGAGAAAAGTGTGACATTTTAAAGCTAAATTCAAACCTGGCTCCTTTTTTCTTTTGTATCTCTGTAATCCCACACATTCATTGGCCTCCCTCTTTTGTAGCTTCCCATTCCAAAATAATCAAGAGCAGTAGGATCATTCAGATTTTGCCCAAAAATTAAAAACAAAACCCAACTAATAAAACAGAAATTAGAAGGGAAAGTTTAAAGGGCAGAATGTGCTTAGGAATCAACTTCTGCCTCTCTCTGGCAGAGAGGGAAAGGTAAAGAGGAGACTGTGATTTACAGTTGGATAACATATTCCACAGGATAGAGTGTCAGTATGACCAGTAGTTCAAGACATCCACTGCTTGGGGATACCAACTGTTCCATTTTGGCCACTGAAAATAAAAGTAAAGTAAAGCTGCACCTTGGCCCATAGGCTGTTGAGCCTCAGGGCTTACCTGTTCAGTCTGCTGACTTGCATTGCAAAATTCCTCCTTGTGTTGCGCCCTCTCTCTCTTGACTTCTATTTGAACCTCACTCTCAGCTTCTCTCCTCCCCTCTGACAACCCACAGTTGTCATCCCATTCTGTCTTTGCTTTGGCTCAGGGCTTCCCAAAATGGGAACAAATCAGTGTTAAAAGAAATTTTTAAATTTCCTTTTATTAATCTTTATTATTTGGGATTCAGGGTCACCTTTCCTGTTTAGGAGACTGTTTGGTTGGTTGAAACTTGTCCCATCATGCTAAAAAGATGCTAAAACTTAGTAAAGTCCCTCAGACATTCCTGAAATAAGAAGCCAAAAGGGAGGCAAGGTTTCCTAAAATAATTTGATTAGTTTTATTTATGGAAGGATCTCAACATACTCTGACTTTGTGGTTATCTTTTGGCATATAAATCTCCTCTCTCAATTAGCCTTTTGTAAATATAACCTTGAAGGATAAATATCACCAGACTAACTTGAAAAATAATTCCCTTAAATTTATCTCTGTAAAATTTTGTTTGTCC